CGTGACCGGCGTGACTAGCGTCCATCGTCGTGGCCCGATGGTAACCGACACGAAATGCGACATGCTGCATTTGGCACCAATGCATTACCCAGACAGCACTGCGTCTGCCTGTTTTCGAGACGGAGGGACGCCTGATGCACTAAAATGCGTATGCGTCAAAGCAACGCTGCGCGCACTAGCGAGTATATGGCAGGTCCGGCGCCTGGCGTGGCAACGCCGGCGTGACGTGACAAAAGGAACGCCGGTGCTAAAGACCCAATTCCAGAATGACTCGAGCATCTTGAGCCACTTATTCGTATAGAGGAATTCTAGTCACTATTTAACCATTCCTTTTGTTACCGCTGTATGTACTCTTTATGGACTGTAATATCATTGTATGGTGTGCAAAAGTAGGTTATATAGAAAAAAATTGGCAGCATATCCACGCATTGAACGATGGAGAGTGGGGCGAAGCATTTGTCCATCCATTCGTTCTTGGTACCGTCCGTCCATGCATCAGCCCCTGCGTCCGTTCATGCGTCCATCCATGCATCTATCTGTGTGTCCGTTCGTCCATCTATTCAACACTCCAAGTACCACCATCTCGCATCTTTTTATCATATATTCCCCATATAGAAGCACCGCTATCAAGCGTACATTTTCATGACTGAACGAGAAGAGGCACACGCGCACTTTCTTACGGCTTGCGCTTCGGGTCTACCTCCCACCTTTAACCACCTAGAGTTCATGGTATATGCTAGTTCAGTGTGTTCATGTTCCTGTGACCCAACGCTTGCTAAACCTTTCTAAAACCAAGGTGGTTACGCCCAGCGAGTACAACGTAAAAACCATTTCTTGTCAGATAGTGCTCAATGTACATGCCAATAGCTGCTAATGGGGATCGCAGCGTGCGCCTTCACTAAAAGCCGAATGCTCCTGTCTCTCATTCCCCCTTAGTAGCCATTGTCATGTACATTGAGCACTATTTTTTTATTGTGGAACAACGCACAGAAGAAATCTCTCACCGGCACAACCTTGGAGGTCAAAACACTTGTTACATACTTGTTTTACTTGTTACATACTACAAAGCTTACGAGGGAAGAACGAGTGTTGTTATAAAGAGCTTCGCCCCTAAAAAAAGGAACGCTGGTGCGCACGCGCGCCGGATCACGTCGAAGTGTTTTGGCGCCTCGACTGTGGCATGTACTCATGTTCTCACATGACACGCATCTCATCATTATCATGTTTCCACCAGTCACATACTTTCGTCATTAGTTGACGTCACGTAATACCAAATATGGTAGATGTGAAGCTAGCGAAACGGCCGCGAGCACATCATGAGTGTGGCATGTAGTCATGTTTTTATATGACATGCATGTCTATTATCATGTTTGGATATATGTCATCTACCTATGTCGTCCATTCGTATCACCTAATACTGAAATTAATATATCTGTAGTTGGTGAAACGGCCGAGAGCTCATCATGAGCTTGGATCGTAGTCATGTTGTTACATGACACGCATTTCATGTTTATTAAGTTTGCACCAGTATCATGCCTTCGTCATTCATTTACGTCCCGTAATACCAAATTTGGTATAAGTGAAGCTAGCGAAATGGCCCCAGCGCATCATGACCGTAGAATGTAGTGATGTTAAATGACACGCATCTTGAGATTATCATGTTTGCACCATTCAGATACCTTCGTCATCCATTCATGTACCGTAATATCGAATTTGGTATATGTGAAGCTCGCCAAATGGACGAGAGTGCATCATTAGCGTGGCATGTAGTCATGTTATTACATGACACGCATGTCATATTTTTCCTGTTAGAATCTGTCGCTTGTGTTCGCCATGCAATCATGTCATACCATACTACTTTTGCAACATGTCATGTGAACGAAAGCAAGACCATGAAATGGAAATTATGGCATTCATGACATATATGTCATGATTTTCATGTTATGACTAGTCAAAGATGCCCGTCATATAATCATGGTATACCGCACCAAATTTGGTATTGATAGCATTATCCAAGCGGCCAGGAGAGCTAAAAGTCGTAGGCGGCTAGACAGACAGACAGACAGACAGACAGACAGACAGACAGACAGACAGACAGACAGACAGACAGACAGACAGACAGATAGACAGATAGATAGATAGATAGATAGATAGATAGATAGATAGATAGATAGATAGATAGATAGATAGATAGATAGATAGATAGATAGATAGATAGATAGATAGATAGATAGATAGATAGATAGATAGATAGATACGCTCAACGTCGCCGAAGTCTACTAAGAAATGCTTCGCATTTATTACAGCAAATAAACGTTTTCAGTTTCCAGCTCCGTCTCCTCGGTTCGTCTTCGCCTTGGGGGAGCGAAATGAACGTCTCGGCGTTCCGAATCGTACCGACGCCGTTGGTCTGCCACGCCGTCATCCGAGCGCGGGCGAGCTTACGCGCATGATCGCCTCACGCAATCTCATCGCGGGCATACTTGCTGGTGAACGAGGTATGAGCCGACACGACTTTGTCCCCCTTCCTCATTCTTGTTAATTTGTTTTATGTATTGTGGTTTATCGAATTCTTCTGCACTTTTTGCACGTTTTTTTTTTCAAAGGAACATTATTATTGTTCTTATCTAATTTCTCTTTCCTTTTTTAGCAAGCGTTGTAAAGAAAATATCTATTATAAGGTACACTGTGGCCAATCCCCCATGTGGGTATGAGCCAAGATCTCCTAGGCGACTTGACAAGACTGTGTCCAATGGTAAAGTCCGCTGTCATCCTTGCAATAAATAGAACGTCGAAAAGCCCGCTGTGTCATGATGGGATGAATTATACGCGAAAGTTGCGTAAGGTAAGGCAGGGTCCCAGTCTCGGTGGTCGAGTGACATGTACATATTGAGCATATTTGTGAGAATTTGATTAAAGCGTTCGTGAGGCCGTTTGTTTGAGGGTGGTAAGCGGTGATCAGTGTGTGTTGCGTGGTACAAGAACGCAGGATGTCGCAATGGCTTGGGATAGAAATGTACGAACACGGTCTGTGAGGAGTTGTCTCGGGGCACCGTGAACAAATATAATGTCCTGTAACAAGAAGTCAGCGACGTCGGTTGCACAGCTGGTCGGTAGAGCTCGCGTCATCGCGTAACATGTAGCGTAGTCTGTAATAACGGCTATCCATTTGTTTCCCAATGTTGATGTGGGAAAAGGACCAAGCAGGTCTAAGCCAAGACGGTAAAATGGTTTCGCGGGTATGTAGACTGGTTGAAGATGTCCAGCTTGTAAAAGCGACGTTGTTTTACGAAGTTTGCACAACTCACACGTGGCGACGTGTCCGCGTAGCGAGCGAGCACGGCCTGGCCAGAAGAAACGGCGCCGTACGCACTCGTATGTGCGAGATACGCCAAAGTGTCCAGCTGTGGGAGCATCGTGAGTTTCGGTGAGGACACAGAGCGCAAATGCTTAAGCACAACAATAAGAAGGTCAGGCCGGTCAGGTCGGAATTCGCGGCGGTACAGAACACTCATTTGAGGGACAATGTGAAAGGCGGAAGCGTAATTTGGGGACGATTTCATACGGCTGATCATGTGAAGCAGCAGTGCAGCCCGTTTCTGTTCTTCCCCAATGTTAAAGAAGTCTGACACTGACGAAATGAAGTTCTCCGTGGGCACGTCGTTGTCCTCAGGATCGTCGTTAGGGTACCGGGAAAGGCAATCGGCATCATGGTGCAGCCGGCCAGATTTGGAGACCAACGAATAGGAAAACTTCTGCAAGCACAAAGCTCAACGACCAAGGTGGTCTGATGGATCGTTCAGAGAGTTGAGCCAGCAGAGCGCGTGGTGGCCGGTAACTACCGAAAATGGCGTCCGTACAAGTAAGGCCAAAATTTCGCCACTGCCGAAACTAGAACCAAGCACTCACGCTCTGTGATAAAATAATTGCGTTCAGGAGCGGATAGCAGGCGGCTGGTACACGCAATGACGCAATCATGGCCATGTTGTTGCTTAGCCAGCTCTGCACCAATGCCATGCCCACTTGCATCTGTACAGATTGCCGTAGGGAAAAGTTTTTGACGGCGCCGATTTTTGCCGGGTCTGGTTGTACACCGTTGGCGTCTACTAAATGGCCAAATACTGTGATTTGGTGGCGTCCAAAGGGACATTTGGACAAGTTGAGCTGCAGTGCAGCACGACGGAAAATATCAAAGACGTCTGAGAGGCGCGGTATATGAAATTCAAATGTTGGTGAAAAAACGACGACGTCGTCCCAGTAGCACAAAGAGGTGGACCATATGAATCCTCTGAGCAGGGAGTCCATCATTCGTTCAAAGGTGACTGGAGCGTTACAAAGGCGAAAGGGTATGTCCTCGAACTGATATAGGCCGTCAGCGGGGGATGAATGCCGTCTTTTCAAGGTCCTATTTATCTACCTCGATTTCTCAGAAGCCGAAACCAAGGTCAATGAAGAAGAGAGAAAGAGAGAGAAATAAATAAATGGAACAGACAGGGAGGTTAACCTAGGAGGAAAAACAGTGTTACCAATAGCGGCAATGAAAGGCATCATCAGTTCGAGGCAGAGGAAACATGTCTTTTTTTCTTCTAATTTTGTTTAGGTGTCAATCATCGACACAGAAATGACATGCGCCGTCTATCTTGCGGACTGGGGAATGCCCCGTGTGTCACTAGAAAATGTACAATATTATTGGGCGTTGGCCTATCGCCGAAGACATTGTATATGGGCAGCGCCTCATTACGCACTGCGATAAATTAGAATGGCGAGCTGTTAGGTAACCAGACAGCTGCCTATTCGTTTTTAATTACATTGTCACAGAGAGCAGCTTCATAGGAATGGAATCTAAAATTCTTGGCTACAATTACCACCAAGAACTTTTCTTTGCACATAGAGTTTGTGTATTGAGGTTATTCTTACATCGCGACGCTACAATAATGAATGCTAAGTGCATTGAATAAAATAGCTACAGAACGTAAAACAAAAGAAGAGGGAATACTCACTCTGATGTTGATAACTTGTAAGCCATATTATTCCTTGTAGATATAGGTAAAATATATATTTCCCAATTACTTTGTATTGCAATAGACTCATGTCTCTGAAACTTTAAAATGTTTCATATGAATCTATTGCACATTTTATAAAGCTAGAATGAAAGAAAACAGTGCTGTTGAAAAGGACTCAACGTAAATAATACAGTGTGCAGAAAAAACAGGAACGTAAGGAGAGATCCAGACTAGGAAATGGGCTTTAGTGTTTCACTGATGTTTTTTTTCTTCGCTCAAGTAGCAGCATTTACTTTAAATCAAGGATAAATTTAGGAGCACTGCAAAGAAAAATTCACCAGAGGCACCATCCTCGGAATGATCGCACTTGGAAGAGTCAAGTGCTATAAGCTGTTAACATGCATGAAATGTTGATTGACATGGGTCTCAAAGAAAAGAAAATAGATGGCACTCTGTTTCCTGGTATGCAAAAAGTGGTAAGACGGTAAATGCAACCAGGTAATGAAGAGCGCGGTTGGAGGACAAATAACAGCCATGGCAGACGAAGGATCCGAGCATAAAATGATCTTCCCGCTACGGTTGGCGCTTTATAGGGGGTGGGGGGGGGGGTCAAGGGCATAAGATGCATGGCACGCACCGTTGTACTAATACTAAAATATCTAAAATACACCACCACAGTGGCGCAATGTATGCAATAACAACATATATTTCTGAAATGTCACACAATTTAAAGCTAGCGCGCAACTCCTCCGTCACCCACTAAGGTTTAAGTCAACAAACGGCCAGCTTACGAAGGCGATCTCCGTTGAGCGAATGAAGGGAGCCGTATACCACAATACCACCGACCATGCAGTGAGAAATCCGCTCATAACGGTACCTGCCACGTGCTGATTGATTTCAATATAAAATGCACACCACTGGGCTTGGCCAACCAAAATGTGTAGTTGCTGCCGGATCAACGTAGCTTCCCCCAACTATAGCCTGCTGCGCGAATTTAAATGGCACTCGCAGGTTAATACAGGCACTTCAAAGACACGACTGGCTGCACAGTGTTATCTAGTTGGACCTCATCCAGAGCGAAAGCGTGGTGCGAGCGGTGATATAAATGTTACAGCACTAAAATGAAGCACATATATCACCTTGCATGTATTATGCGGCGTCTCTAGTATGACAGATTGAATTGCCAGTATCTTCCGGATTTTATTCGCAACTCATGTTTAGTTCATGACGAAACAAGGGCTGAAAGTACACACGCTCAGAAAGGACACATACAAGTGCTTACTAGCAACTGAAAATTTTATTTTGAAGCGAACACTACGAAATACGTCACACGCATGTACGTCATTCTCAACTTCCCCTGTCATCATCAACAAGGTAAAATGCCAAAATATGCACTCACATAATCGATGTCACACAACCGAAAACAAATACGTGTCAAGAACTAAGAAAAGGTTCGCATCCCGGCTGCGGCGGCTGCATTTCCGATGGAGGCGGAAATGTTGTAGGCCCGTGAGCTCAGATTTGGGTACACGTTAAAGAACCCCAGGTGGTCAAAATTTCCGGAGCCCTCCACTACGGCGTCTCTCGTAATCATATCGTGGTTTTGGGACGTTAAACCCCACAAATCAATCAAATCAGAACTAAGAAAAAAACGTATAACCTCGTTTTTTGTTTTTTTTTTAATTGCGAAGCACTTCTTAGCGAACTTCGGCACTTTGAGCGTATCTATCTAGCTATCTTTCTATCCAGCCGCCTACAACTTTTTGCTCTCCTAGCCGTTTCGATAATGGTATCAATACCAAACTTGGCATGGCATAACATCACTGTATGCAGAAGATATTTGACTAGTCATGCCACGAAAATCATGACATGGATGTCAAGAATGTCATGATTTACGTTTCATGGTCCTGCAGCTTTTGAGGTAGTTTTGTTCACATGATATGTTGCAAAACTGGTATGGTATGACATGATTGCACGGTGAACAGAAGCGACAGACCCTAACATGAAAATCATGACATGCGTATCATGCCACAATATGACTACATGCCAAGCTTATGATGCGCTCGTGGCCGTTTCGCTAGTGTCAAATATACCAAATTTGGTATAACGGTACAAGAATGGATGACGAAAGTATGATACTGGTGCAAACAAGATAAGCATGACATGCGCGTCATGTAACAACATGACCACATGCTACGGTCATGATGTGCTCGCGGCGGTTTCGCTAGCTTCACGTGTGCCAAACTCGGTATTACGTGACGCGAACGGCCGTCATAGGTAAATGACACATCGCAACATGATAATCACAACATGCGTGTCGTGTAGCAACATGGATACATGCTACACTCATAATGCGCTCGCCGCCATTTCCTTAGCTTCACATATGCCAAATTTGGTATTACGTGACGTCGAACGATGGCAAACTTATGTGACTGGTGCAAACATGATAATCATGAGAGGCGTGTCATGTCAGAATATGACTACATGTTACGGTGAAGGCACCAATACATTTCGATTTGACGTGGTGAGCCTGCTCGCCGGCGTTCATTTCGTCATGTCACGGCGACTTAACACGCCAGGCGCCGGTTCTGCCATATATACTCGCAGGTGCACGCCGCACTGAATTCTTTTGATGCATGCGCGTATGAGCGCTGTCGGCGTCCCTCCATTACGAAAAGAGGGAGACGAAGCGTTGTCTCGTTGCGAAATACAGCATGTCACATTTCGTGCCGGTTGCCGTCGGGACGCACCGACGTACGCCGGTCGCGCCTGGCGTCAAACTATATATAGTGCTCGCGTTTTGCTAACGTAGCGTGGCTGTGCCCAGCGCACGCACGCGTCAACGCTACTTTTGAGTATATTGGGCCCTTCATGATGCCCCCGCGGATGCTTCGCTAGCTCCACATATACCAAATTTGGTATTACTTGACGCCAATGGATGACGAATGAATATGACTGGTTTAAACATGATGATCCTGGCACGAATGTCATGTAAGAACATCACAACCTACCACGCTCATAGCGTGCTAGCCCCGTCACGGTGGTCTAGTGGCTAAGGTACTAGGTCTGACCCGCAGGTCACGGGATCAAATCCCGGCTGTGGCGGCTGCAATTCCGATGGAGGCGGAAATGTTGTAGGCCCGTGTACTCAGATTTGGGTGCACGTTAAAAAACCCCAGGTGGTCCAAATTTCCGGAGTCCTCCACTACGGCGTCTCTCATAATCATGTGGTGGTTTTGGGACGTTAAACCCCACAAATCAATCAATCATAGCGTGCTAGCGGTCGTTTCGCCAGCTCCACATATACTAAATTTGGTTTGGTGTCACGTGACGTGAACAGATGACTAAGGTAAACGACACATCCAAATATAATAATCATGAGAGGGAAGTCATGTACGGCATCATTTACCGCCACCTCGTAAAGTTATGCTACATTTAAATTGACATATCAACCTTGGTCATTCGTGCTTCGCATGTCATCGATGCCCACTGTACATGGGATCCTCCCATTTTTTTGTTTTTGTTTTTGTTATGCGTTTTTTCTTAGTTTATGACGCGTGTTTGTTTCCGTTTGTGTGCCACCGATTGCGTCAGTGCATATTTTGTTATTTCATGTTGTTATTTCACGTTGGGAAAGGCTTTCGGCCTTTCCCACTCATTGCTGACTTGCGCCCACAACTGGCCGAAGTCGCGGAATAAAGGGGCTTCCTTGCCAAAGAAGCTTTCAAACGGCCCCACACGTTTTCTATCACATTCAGGTCCGCTCCTTTCGGAGGCCATTCCAGTAGCTGCATGTGCTGCTCCGCGTGGAACTCCTTGACAGCCCGCGCCGTGTGTAACGGTGACCGGTCCTGTTGGAACATGTAATCACCGTCTGGGAATAAACTGCTCACATATGGCAACAGCACATTGTTCAAAATGTTGCAGTATTGTTCCTACGATAAGTGTCCACTTATACGTTGCAGGGGCCCTAAACCATATCTTGAAGCAGTACCCCACACGCTCGCACTCGATCTCCCACTGGCAGAAACACCTTGCACGTTGTCAGGGTCGTTCCTTCGTGGCAGTTTGACGTTAACTAAAACAAATGCTTTTCAAACCAGGAAGTTTGCCTCACCGTGTGCCTGGTAGTCTCCAAATACGCAATCTTCGGTCTTGTCGCGTCGAAAACGTCGACTCATCCGAAAAGATGACGCGACCCCACTCTTCTAATGTCCATGCATCTTGCAATGCAGCGAACTGCCGTCGCGCGTCCTTGTGTGGCACCGTTAGTAGTGGCTTCTGCGCTGCGAGGCGACTGCGAAGGCCTGCAGTACGCAGGCGACGTCGAACAGTGGTGTAAGAAACGTCCAAATCCAAGTCCTCGCGTATTGCTGGGGCTGCCAAGAAAGGGTTACGAACAGCAGCTGCAACTATGAGGGAGTCTTCAGCGTCTGTGGCAGCTTTAGGGCTGGGCGCGCGGGTTGCATCCTGAATGCGACTTTCATACTTATAGGCTTGAATTATACTGTTCACAGTCTTCAGGGGCCTATTAACTAAAGTGCCTATTAACTAAATAAGGGGCCTATTAACTAAATAAAATTTATTTATTTATTTATTTGTCTTGCGTTTCATAAACGGGAACGCATCAGAGCGTAGCGATAGACTGAAGCTCCAAATTCATTCACACTCAGGTGGAGCTGCTGAAAACTAAGAAAAAGCAACGTCCTTCCACGCAATCTTGTCACTGCGATCGTGCCTTTGCATTGCGTCACGCCCGTCATATACATTAAACAGCTTTAAACAATAGCGCCTGGTGTTGTTTCACGGTGCACGAACGAGCGTAACAGTTCTTTGGCTCCCCTTTCGTGGTATATTTAATTATCCTCATGGCACAGAAACACACACATGCATGCGTGCGCGTTAGACAATGCTGGTGAATGAAAATATAAGCAGTGGTACTTTGCACTGAAATTTAGTCAGCACACCGGCAAACTTAGGTTCATCTTACCGCCTTATCATCGACAGCGGCCGCTGCTACACAATCAGCAGTCGTACGGTATCAGCAC